CAGAGGAGTCCCGGTGTGTTACGGCGATTAGCAGCGCTTTGTCCGGGTTCAGTAGACCTTCAAATGGGCTATATGGTCCGGAAAGCGAATATGTCACGTACCAAGAACTATTACGTGCTGAGTAAGTGTTTAGAAATTCAAATCTACGAGGTTTGTGTAGAAAAGCAGTGTTTAAAGGTCCCGTATTATGCAAAATTGACTCTTGTGAGATTATAGCCATGTTTGAATGTTGTTACCTCCTCACATACATTTGTTTAGTTTTGTTTCATTCACACAATCCCCTAAGATCAAAATGCACTGTTCCACCTTGTGATGTCATGAAGTGGTAGTTTTCAAGTTAACAGCTGCTTTTTAGTTTTTGTTCAGTGGAGATTGGCAATTCAGTGGCTGAAATTATCCAAATGATTCTAGTGAAGAGGTATGGAGTTTAAAAACACAGTGGAGCCCTTCCTGTTTTTGATAAGGAACAACACTACAACAGAGATCAGAGAATAGCATAATATTAATGCTCCTTTAATCCGTAATCCTTTAATGGATGCCGTTAACATGATACACAGTTTATGAGAGAGAACACAATTTATAGAAACTAGTGGTGTAGATTTGATTTATTTGAGTCTTTTTAATGGAGAGATCTTCAGCCAGTCCCCTGTCAGTAAAAGCTTGTGGTTAAGAGCAGAGTTCAGACTTTAGAGGAAGAAATTAGTTTTTTTCTTTTTGTGTGTGTGTGTGTGTGTGTTAAAGGAACCATATTACACCGCTTGCTGTTTTTTCCTCTTTACAAACATACATGTTGTGTTTTGTTTCATTTGTACATGCTTAACACGCAATCCCTGCATATTTAGGCTGAGTTCTTCTCTCAAACAAAACATACTCTGTTCCACGTTGTGATGCCATGTGAGAGTACAGGAAGTGCTCCACTGTGTTTTTAAACTCCATACACCTTCATTAGAATCAGATGGATGATTTCACCACTGAACTAAAGGTAAAAGGTAGTTGTTAACTTGAAAACTACCACTACATGACATCACAAGGTGGAACAGAACATTGTGAGCTTTGGAGATGTAGGCAGACTGATGATAAAGGATAACTTATACGTGTGTGAATGAATCAAAATACAACTCCTGGCATGTTTTTGAGGAGGTAACATCGTAAAATTACATTAAGCTCACAAGAGTACATTTTGCGTAATCTTGGACCTTTAAATTGTACTGATTATGATAATGAAATCAATCATGACAACCATTTTAATTTTATTTTTGAAAAGTAAAAAGTGAACTGAAAAATCATATCGGCCAATTTGAGTGAAAATATTATGAATACTTTTTTTTTTCTCCATGTCGCAAAGTCCTACCTGTATTCATGTATGACCTTTTGATGCTTCTGCAAACATTCTTTATCCATATAAGCTTTTGCAGACTGAATTGTGAAATAGTCCCTGCTCACCTGGTAGCACCTGCCTATTTTGACATACTTTGACTTTAGTAATGACTTTTCTGTCGCTGTAGTTGTAGTCTTCCTCAGAAATGTTGCTCTTGTGTCCGTCATAGCGAAGAAAATTATACAGAAAAGGATTCCGTGTAAGAAGGTAGAAACCAGGGCAGCTTGCTCTTGAATCTCCCATTGTGACAGTGACATTGACAGTGAATGAGATATTATGTGTTATTTTATGAAGCGCAATTATTTTCTCCAAGGACTTTTTCAAATGCCATATTGATCAATGAAAGATCTTTGTATGACAGACAAAAGACAGTTAGTAGTAGCCAGCCTTAGCACTTTGAACATTGAACACTACTCAACCACACCGTGCTACACTTTGCTTACACTTGATTGTTCGTATTATCTATTATTTCAATGCATTCGCAGCAAAAAGTGACAATTGTAAGTTAGCAACATCCCCTCCCCTGCCTCTGTCAATGCTACTATTGTTTTATCAGGAAAACAATGCTATCATATGGCATGTGCCCAGTGAGCTCATCCACACTGACATCGAGCTGTTGTTCAGACCAGGAAATAATGTCAATGTAGATTTAAACAACTTTTCATTGTTACTTTGTCTATCAGTCCACTTCTTAGAGCTTTATCAAATCAGCTACTTGCAAGAATGACTAAAGAACTAGCAGTAATCACATTAACACAGTGTATTGTCACGCTTGTATACATGATAAATCTCTTGATACTTTGCAGCTGATGTCATCAACGTTCCCTAGAGGTGTGATGCTAACTGTAGGCACTGCTCTGTCTGAAGCTCTGTTACTCAAATTACACTTTAATCTGTGCTTTTAACACAATCTGAGCAGACAGAGCTGACTTAGTTGGAGCTACAACAGTTGACCCGATTTGTGCTCTTAAACAAGTCTCTCTCAAATAACATCACAGTCACGAGCCAGATACTATCAACCAATAGTTTTTTCACTTAATCACCAACTAAACAGTTTAAAGACAAGCTGCAATGTGCATTGTGTCACTGAAATTTCTCCATTTAGATGTAGGCTGGCAGAATATATTTGTTTTTAAAGGTGCACTATGTTAGCCTGATTCATCAGCAGGTTTCACTTTGTAGAAACCGTCTGAACTTGCAGTGTTAGGATTCATTCGCTTGACAGCAGGCGGGTACTTTTTATCATTTAACTAATTGCTGCTATTTGTTCGTGACCTATGTAATGCATTGCTAACGGGGCTAACTGGTATATTAAGGTTTTCCCAAATCCCGTAGGAAGAAGGGCAATGTCGTCTTTCCCTTGATGAAATTCACCAAACATTCTCTTTGTTCTGGCTTTAAATCCTTGATCTCGGGAATCGTTGACAGCACTGAATGTATGACTCTTCGCTGGTTGGCTGGTGCCCGAACTTGCACTTCCGGGGTTTTTGCGAACCGTCCAGTGTGTTCTGATTCCTGACCTAGTCGCTGGAGAGAAATGAACACTAGTAGCACTATGTAACTTGGGGTAGGCCAGCTGCTGGTCTCTGTGGAGTTATGATTGCTTTACATGGAATCTTCCACAATATGCTTCTAAACTTTTCCTTCTCCATGGATTCAAGCAGGCGACGCCACCAGGTCAAGTTACCAGTCAAATCCGCGGAGAAGAAACACTTTTCACAGTAATACATATTTTGCAAGACTTCCAACTTAAAACAGTGGATTTTTTTCCCTCCATTTTCTGATGAAGAAGTGTCAGAGGATGTTTGTCCAGTTGTTGCCTGGTGCCCAGAGCGTCTGCGCTGCTGCTCATTCATTTAGTTATTCTTAATTGATTAAATGCAAGTTGGATGCATTCATTGTCATACTGTGAAACATTCCACTCAAAGAAATAACATCTCCATAGAAACAAGCATATGTCATTAAAAAAGTTGCACAGTGCACCTTTAAACTCGTTATTTACTTATTAACAAGGATAATCTAATGAGCATCTCTATTTGTTGTTGTTGAATACGTAATTTCACTGGCCTTTTTTTTTTTTTACTTTATTAAAAAAAGAAAAAAAAAGCAATTCACCAATGAAAGAAGATGTCTTGTGCTTTCTTTGTGCCACCATTACGCTACAGGAAGGTCTGTAAAGCACCTTAAATTAAAGAGATGTATTACTTTTTGTTAGCACCAAACGCACAAAGAAAACCCTGTGTACAGCTTCCCCAATTGCTATGGCAGGCTGACCTGGTTTGGTGGGAATGGCTTTTGAGTGTAGACTTGGACAGGCCTCTAGTTTATGCCCAGGCCTCTCTGAAAGCGTTTGGTGGTCAGCCATCGATCCAGCTCTGTCTCACTCATGTGGCTGCGGTGGAGGGGGATTTCTCTCTGGCTCCGAGTTCTAGGACGAAGGGGGGAGAGAGGGAGGACAGGGGAAGGGGGAGAGAGGGCGGGGAGCGAGGGGAAGGAGGGTGAGTGCAAACAACTCTCACAGGTGGAAGTGGTGCCCCCTCCATTTCTCTGTTCCTCTTTTCAAAAAGTCCCTAAAAGGAAGAAAAGAAGAGTGTGCGTGTCACCTCAAAGCCAGTTCTCTCGGCTTTCACAAGTTTGGACTCAAAGGAAAATGCTAATCCTGAAACTGGGGCTTCACCATAAATTGTACTGTTGTTTTTTATTGCAGTTTGGGCTAATGCAATCATTTACTTTTTATTGCAAAGCTAGTTATAATTTAAATTCAGATATTCAAAACATTTAAAGAGAGAGTATTATGCAAAATCAGCTTTTTGGAGCTTTCTACCATGTTACAATAAGACCATGCCTGAAGAGGTTTTAGATGTCATCCATGCACGTTTGAGTATTCTTGCTATTTGAGCCCTCCTTGCTGTTAGCTGTATGATCTTCTTCAACGCTCCTCCCACAAGCCCACGTCACCCATGCTCCTGCACAGCAATTTTTCATCAACACAAGCAGGATATATAACAATACACAATAACTGGACAAACCTGATCCAGTGTGCAGAAGCTTCATTAGCAGAATGGACAATGACTGCAAGGGGAAGGGATTTCGGGGGGTCGACAAACTAGTAAAACATTTGAATATGTTGTTTTTGGCAATTATAGCATTTTCAACACCATAAAAGGTAACATGATGATCTAAATATGTTAAAACTTTGCAATTAATACCCCATAGAAGTAACATACCTCTTCTTTAATGTTATTTTAATCTTCATGAATTGTTTTAAAACAAAGTAAACAAAGGATTATATATTTTTATTGGTCACAGCAAACATTTCAAGACTCAACCCCCATAAGTACAAATATTGATCTATGTGTGGGTCATTATATAATCTCATTGTTTTCCATTCTCATCCACTTTATTTATATAGTACATTTCATAAATAAAACAGTTTCCAAAGTGCTGCACAGTACATATTAAAACATACAATAGGGATATAAAATAAAGTTCAAGCCCTTGTTAAGAAAATAACTTGTCAAATCAAATGAGAGCAAAAATACCAGTAAATAAAAACGGAAAAGATTCACAGTTATCATATATGACACACTTATTTAGTATGTTGTGATGTTTTGTTTTCCAGTTCATTAGAGAAGACATGAAGCAACAGCAAACCAACAAGCATAGCGTCCTTCACCGAGAGGATCAGCACATCACGGTGGAGGAGCTGTGGAGAGCTTGGAAGATATCAGAAGGTAAATGGTCGCATATTTATATTTAGCATTTTTCCAGCTTCAAGGCACCTCAAGGCTCTTTGGCATTTTTCGTGAAATCTGAAATATGTTGTTAAGTGTGTTTTAGTCAAATAAGTAGTCTAACCTGTCATAGGCTTTTTAAGTTAGGGTAACCGCGGGGTCTTAAAAGCCTTAAAAATATCTTAAATTTCATGTTCCTAAATTAAGACTTAAATTATGTTGTCCAAGTCTTGTTTTTTCACAAAGGTCTTAAATTTCTTTAGCCTTTTTTTTTGTATACTCAACGGGCTGCAGTGCAATGTTAAATGGAGGAAGGAAAAAACCCACAATGTTAAATGTGAATGAACGTCTCATTTGAAGTAAGGGCAAGCAATACTTTGGTTTCTGGCACCAGTGGCAATGAGTAAACAATCTGTAGAGTGGAAGATGTTGGATGGATCATGGGGAAGTATAGGTTTAATCCACAGCGGCTCTTAGATTCTAGAAATAGCAGTTGATTTGTTGGATCTGGTGTTTTTCACTCACATAATGGGTGCAATGTTGGTCTTAATTTTCATTGAAGTGGTCTTAAAAAGGTCTTAAAAACTCTTAAATTTGGGGTAGTCAAACCTGGGGATACCCTGTAAGTGTCTTGTCCAAGGACACAACAACAACATTCATCTATGGGAGCTGGAATCGCACTGCCAACCTGTGAGTCAAATTCAATAGAACAACAACATTTACATGTGCATGGACTGTGAAGAAAACAAATAATGCATTATGACAAAAAACAAGGAGATAGGAGAAGTTTGCAACATATATGGGTGTTCACGGTCAATCCTTAAGAAAGCAGAGCAGGGTTTGAACCATCAACCTTGGATCAGCGGAGAACACTCAACCAACTGATCTACTGTCGCCCACTCTGCCGCTGCAAATCCCAAAAACAATCAGGCCAATTGTTATGACAGCCATTGTAAGTATTCAGCAACATTAGCCAACGTTGCGTAATAAAACAGGGTCACAAGATTCAGGTGTGGTACGTCTTAAATTATATAATAATGAAAGAACCGGATTATTTTTTTAGGGATTGGCCGTCAACACCCACATATGTTGCAAACCTCTCCTATCTCTTTGGTTTTTGGTATAATCCATTATTTGTTATCTTTACGGTTTGTGTACAGTAGATCCTGTGGTTCTATTGAAATGCACAAAGGAAGGTACACCTGGCTGGTTAATGCAAGCTGGTCCAAAATGCTGTTTTGCATCCACGCTTTGTTATTAAATAAGATCTGCTCAGGTCACTGCTTTTTAACTAAAGCGGGTTGGGCTGAACTGTTTTGGAAAATAATGTTGTTCTGACTTTTTGCAAGGACTGGGATCACATTTAAAGATTTGATATTTTACTGCTATATTAAAGGGCCCATAATACACTGTTTTCTTATCCATGTTATAATGTTGTTTCATTCACACATGGTTAACACACAAATCCTGCGTATTTATTTTCTGAAAACAGAAATCACTCTGTTACACATTGTGATGTCATGTGGTAGTAAAAGGAGAACTCTGTTGTGTTTTCATTTTCATTTTGAGCTTTGGAGATGTTGACAGACTGATAATAAAGGATTACTCAAACATGTGTGAATGCACCAAAAAACAACTCTGGGCATGTTTTTAATAAAGTAACAGCATTATAACATGGTATAAAGCCTACAAGAGTCAGTTTTGTGTAATGTAGGAGCTTTAATAGCTAAACTAAGAATCACATGCATCTCACATCTGATTTGTATAGGTCTAAACTACAGGGTAAACAGGTTATGTCTATATAAGACCTTATGGACTGCAAAGGACATTATTAATACATAGTAGTTTATTTATGTAATTTATTGTGTGGGTTTGTACATTTGTTAAAGGGCCTATATACTAATCTGTGTTATAATATATTATTTTCTCTTCAGAAACATGCCTGGTGTTGTGTCTTGTTTCATTCACACATATTTAACACACAAATAGGCTGTGTTTAAGATGAGTGTGAATGAAACAAAACACAACACTGGGTATGCTTCTGATGAGGAAACAGCGCTATAACATGGCTTGAAGCTCACAAGAGTCAATTTTATGTAATATAGGACCTTTAAGTTGAGATATCCAAAAAATCACTTGGTTGAGTTAAGTTTTCAAATAAATAATATTGCCACTTTTACACTATTTTAGCTGTAGTGCTCATTTTATGCTAGTATAACGTTAATCTTTATTTTCTTTTAGTGCATAACTGGACGAATCAGGACACAGTGCAGTGGCTGAAGGAGTGTGTGGAGCTGCCTCAATATGAGAAGAACTTCAGGGACTTCAGAGTGACTGGGAACACCTTACCTCGGTCTGTACCTCTCGTCATCCTCTCGTCTGTGCTTCAGTAGTCTGTACAATGCTTCCCACTGCTGGACAATAAGTGTATTACATGCACCAAGCTGACCTTCATACTATTAGGTCTGTCACGATAATGATTAAAGTGACTTATCATTTGATATATGAAAGCTGGAGCAATATTTTTTGGGGGTCAAATCAGTTTTTATTATTATTTGAAATTTTCTTTGCAATAGTTGACATTTGTGGTTCTTTTTTGGCTATATGATAAAATTTGAGCTGAAGAAGTTTCAGTTAATAATTTCTAAGACCCAATACAGACCATATTGTAGATTTTGCATATTTTCTGTGGTTTAAATCTGCTCTTGGGTTATTCCTTTAACTTGCATAAACTTTTTTTTTTTAAAATAATATTTTATTTTATCGTCTATATTTACTTACTTTACAGCAGTATATTCTGCTTCAAAGTTTGTAATCATGACAGGCCTACATACTAGTGAATTGGATTTTATATGGCCAAAATGTAATGTGTAACTTTTCTGTTAAGGGGGGAAACACTTGCTTTTTTCCATGGAGATTGTTTTGAATGGAATGTTCAATAAGATAAACAGGCCTTGGTCTTGGCCTCGAACTGCCACATAGTCCATGGGCCAAACCCCAAATGTGAAAGTGCATTTTTTGACACAGAGATTGTACACTTCAAAGGTTGATAACTCCAATACTGTAAAAGCTCAGGGAAGTCTATCACATCAAAATATAAAGCTTAGATATGGAACTTTGTCATCAGAGTGATACTGAAAATTTGTCTGGCCCATAGACTAACATGCTTATCCTCATGGTGACATACAGATAACTTTAATGTCATACTGTGGAATACTGTAGGTAGACCCATGACATTTCCATGGAGAATAGCAGGATGGTTGACAATGTTATCTGGGAGTTATTTTATTATGTTGGTTCTAAAAAAACAATAAAAATGAGCAACAAAACACCAGCAACCGGACAGTAAAAACATGGATTTTTTTCTCCATAAATAACATTGATGTACCTTTTTATATCTCTTACATAATACTAATTCTACGCTTAATGTGTTTTGTCATTATTGTAGATTAGCAGCAAATGAACCGTCCTTTTTATCGATGCAGTTGAAGATAATAGACCAACGGCATAAACAAAAGTTAGTTTTAAAAGCGCTGGATGCTGTGCTTTTTGGTCCCCCTCAACGTAAGTACTCCACAGCTTCTAGTCCAGTTTGTCAGTTACATCATTCCTAATTTAACTGCCTTTTCTGTGTACTCCTTGTAGGCCCACAACACAACTGGATGAAGGACTTTATCTTGATGTTTTCCATTGTGATCGGAGTGGGCGGGTGCTGGTTCGCCTATGTGCAAAACAAGTCCAGTAAAGTGCACATTTTTCAGATGATGAAGGACCTGGAGAGCCTGCAGCACGCCGAGCAGAGCCTCCTCGATCTCCAGAGTCGGTATGGACACGAGCTATTCACATTTACTATTCAGATGATAAAAGCAGGCCTGTCACAATAATTACTGGTGTGTGTTTTTTAGCTGTATTTTAAATGTTACATGGGATATTTTATGACATACCTACATACTGTCACTTTGGGACTACAGACCAGATTTATTTGTCCCTGTCAAATAAATACATACATAAATAGTTATCGTTTAGTATATCTTAGATGGAACAATAATTTTTGGGGGTTTGATATTTATTGTGGTGATTTTCTTTGTAGAGGTAGAGAACCTTTAGTTATTATTCTGTACTACTATTAGATTTGAGCTGTGGAGTGTTGAATAAATAAGTACTATGACTAAATATATGTTTTGTTCTGCCATTTATTTTTTATTATTTATTTTAATTTACTGTTTTAGAAACTTTTGGGGGATAATTGTACTTAAATTAGTTTCAGTATTATCATTTATTGTCTATATTTCCTTCAGCAGTTATCCTACTTCAAAATGTGTTATTGTGTCATAGAGGATTGAAACAGGAAAGACTAAAATAAGACAGACTAATGAGGGGAGAGTTTATAAAATGGATCTGTAGGTAGAAAAGTCTGAGCCAATGAAGGGAGAGTATTTATGAGGTAGTGGTGGTATAGCTTATGCTTTCTGGTAGTGCTGTGCAGTTAATACAATTTTAGATCCAGATTTAGGTCATTCGTCTGTCAGTGAAAACATGTACAGTAGTTTGGTGCAATGTTTGGACTTTCAAGGGATAAATAGGGTTATTAAAAAATTTTTTAAAAATCTGAAGTTGATTTTCGGTTGCATCGCCTTGTTTCTATTGCTCTTCTTTGAATGTTAAACAGATCTACCTTACGTTTATTCAATTACCGGTGGCATTATTGCTCAAAATTTAAGCCATTCTGACTGTGAGTGGGACTGCTTCTCCACAGATCTGACCTGTAACTTGGTCTGGTTTGGTGTCCATGCTGATAGAAAGGTTTATGCCATACTGTGAAACATTTCAGACAAAGCAGTAATATCTCCATGGAGATAAGCAAATGGCAGACCCTCCACTAAAGAAGTTACACAATGCACCTTCAATGATGAATGATCAGTGGGAGGCTCCTTCCTTTTTACCATATTTCCAGCCCTACTTTCTGATTGAATTAACATCTCAGCTCTTTATTAGACAGTAGTTTAGTTTCTTAGTTGAACTGTGTGTGTGGTGGTACAGGCTGGAGAAGGCCCAGGAGGAGAATCGCACTGTGGCTGTGGAGAAGCAGAACCTGGAGCAGAAGATGAGGGACGAGATCACAGGAGCGAAAAAAGAAGCGCACCGTCTGAGAGAGCTGAGAGAGGGCGCCGAGTGTGAGCTTAGCCGATTGAAGTACGCAGAAGAAGAGCTCGTCCAGGTGAGCCACAAACTGGAAGATTCAAGAGGGCTCTGTCCAAAACCACTCACATTATAAACTTCACACACTTTTACGACTGAGTGTACGGATTCAAATAGCACCGCTCTTAAGACCCAGTTTCAATAAAATACTCTTTATGGATTACTGGATTCTAAAATAATTTGTAGGGATCTTGACAAAGAAACCTTATATTGAGGTCAAACTCAAGTGAACAACTTTGCTGAGACTTTGCTCTAGACCTACTGCTGCTGCTTCATGAATTCAAAACTCTACATTTTTAGAGCTCCTTGTGCTGGTGCATGGCTTGACTGTGTGTCACTGTGTACCCACACTAGAGTCTAACATGTGGTCTTGGTGCTGTGAAGGTGCGGAAGGCTCTAAAGCGCGCGGAGAAGGAGATGCAGTCTGAGCGCTCAGTCCCAGAAGCTCTGCAGAAGTGGCTCCAGCTCACACACGAGGTGGAAGTGCAGTACTACAACATCAAGAAACAGAGTGCGGAGTTCCAGCTTTGTGTGGCCAAAGACGAGGTACTGTCTGGAGGCTTTCACTGGACTATTTAGTTAACAGTCTTATAACGTTTAATTGGATCCTTTAACAATCTGCTGTTTTGGGGGGAAATTGTCATAGCTTTTCCGTTCAGTGCTGCTTTATGCTCACACAAAAATAATATGGGAACAGAGTACTCATAAAAATCTGAATTGGCTGTGGCTACATTAGTAGCTTACCACCACCGACTGTGGAGTGAAATTAAAAAGGCTTTTAAAACTATGAATCATGGATGACTCTTAATCCATTGTATGACCAATGTGTTTCCATTTTCAGGCAGAGAAAATTAAAAAGAAAAGAGGTTCAGTGTTTGGGACTCTTCACGTGGCGCACAGTTCATCCCTGGATGAAGTCGATCATAAGATTTTAGAAGCAAAGTAAGTTTCTGTCTTTATGGAGTTTTGATTGTAACTTTATTCAATTATGGGTGTTTTTATTACTCAAAAATACTGTGAAAAACATACTTACTCACTTACCTAATGGATGCCTCAACACAGATATGACCTGTAATTTGACCTAGTGATGTCACCTATTTGTCTCCATGGAGATAGATAAGATTAATGCCACACTAGAACATTTTGGGTGCAGGTGATGGACCCCCCACCAGAAAAGTTACATAGACTAAAATAAAAGATTTTTTTTTTCCCCATTATAGATATTTTTATTACGCTGAAAAACATGCATGTTTACTCTGAGTGGGCTTGCATCTCCACAAAATGGACTTGGACGTGGCCTGAAGGAGGGCCTTGGACAACAAATATTGTTCCATTGGTTATAATATTCCGCAATATGACATAAAACTTGTTTATTTTCACAGAGAATGTTCTGAAGTGTGGTTTAACTTTCTATTTTCATGGAAGCAGGTGACTTTCCACCCCCAGAAAGTTTTTCGTGGGGGGGGCTTTTATGAATAAGAATGAATAAGGCACTGAATGTGAACTGCACATTGCAGGAAGGCCCTGTCTGAGGTCACAGCCTGTCTCCGTGAGCGTCTCCATCGCTGGCAGCAGATAGAGAAGCTGTGTGGGTTTCCTGTGGTGAATAACTCAGGTCTGCCTAGTCTGACGGCCAGCCTGTACTCGGAGCACAGCTGGGTGGTAATGCCCCGTGTGTCTGTGCCACCCTATCCTATTGCAGGCGGTGTGGATGATCTGGACGAAGACACGCCCCCCATCATGCAGCAGTTCACTTGTGAGTCACAGGGACACAACTGTATTCTAATCATGCACTGTGTGGTTAAGCTTCATTCACAATTTGCTTTGTAATGTTTCCATACAATTATTGAAAATATAATGCTAAAACATCTTATTACATAAATACTACAATTTATTTATTTATACATTCAACAGACAAAGTCAATGACAAAAAGGAGCAAAAAAAGGAGCAAAAAAAGGAGCAGAGGCAATGTTGTGAGTCCCTTTTTCTCCAGCTAACACTGATAGTTAAAAACATTATATTTTAATCTGGTGGAGGCTTCTTATTATCTTTCTGAATTAATCTAGAGCAGTAACAATAGTAGTGACATTAATCTAATCCCAACTAACCCTAACCTGCTGATGGTGGAAGTGCTAACATAACATACTGGTCAATGTAATCCCTCATTTGTCCTACAGTATCCATGATGGAAAAGGTTTCAAAGGAAGTGATCTGAACAGTGTTTTTGAAATCAAGACACTTCATCTGCATCAATAAAATAAATCCAAGGCAAGTTTCCGGGTAAACCTCTTCCCTATGGCAGTATTAAACCAGCTGTCCTTTTCTTAAGGCTGTAGAAATTCTATCTGAAACTTCTTCAAAAACATCCAGATACCTCTTTGTGAAACCTTTTCTAACTCAGTTAAAATGCTGCGTCTTCTAAAATTAGTCTCAAACCTGCTGAACTCTGGGTAAACTAACTTAACAGATGCACCATTTTCGGGTCAGATAATAATAGTGATGGTTGGTAAGTATGATATATTCCTGAAGAAAATATAGACTATAAATGATAATACTGAATGCTATTATGCCACTGACTTGACAACCCTAAAGTAGAATTTTCCCCCAAAACGATTCTCTATGTACAGTATTGTTCATTAATCTGATTTGCAACACTTATTGAGTCATAGAAGTGATTTATTCAACCTTACACAACTCAAATATTATCAGTACAGAAAGTACAAAGAAAAGGCAGCCACGATAAATATTGACCCCAAAAATAACTGCTCCATCTATCATGTATTGAACGATAAGTCGATATAGAAATTATCGTGACAGGCCTAAAAGTTGGTGTTGATAATATACTTTCTTCAGTATATTTATCATTTTTACTGTTGCTCAAATTCAATTCAATTTAAAAAATCTGCTGTTTTTAAGCATCCATATACTGTAGCATCAGAATGACCTCACACTTTTATCCAGTTTGAAATTAGTTTAATGGTCCCATCTTACACAAAATTGACACCTGTGAGCATTAAGCCATGTTAGAAAGTTGTTACCTCATTAAAAACAGACCTGGAGTTGTGTTTTGTTTCAGTCACACACATTTGAGTAATCCTTTATTAGTTTGTCTACATCTCCAATGCTCAGTATGCTCTGTTCTACCTTGTGATGTCATGAAGTGGTAGTTGTAGTCTCATGTTAGCAGCTACCTTTTACCTTTAGTTCAGTGGAGATTGGCAGAAATTATCCAAATGATTCTAATGAAGGTGTATGGAGTGTTTTCTGTTTAAGAGAAGAACTTAACCTAATTATGCAGGATTTGTGTGTTAAACATGTGTGAATGAAACAAAACACTCCAACACCAGGTGTATTTGTGATGAGGAAACAACTTTATAACATAAGTCTAAGTCTAATTGTACCTTTATGTGTTGCAGCTCCCAGTATGATGCGCCCTCCTCTGACCCGTAACAGCAGTGTGTGTCGCTCACGTCGCAGTCTTCTCTCCTCACAGCAGTCCTCCCTCCTCTCCCCCGACCCCGACCTCCTCTCCATGGCCGGCTCCACTCTCTCCTATCACCCTGAGACCGAAGACGAGCACATCATGTTCAGCACAGATAGGAGAGGGTATGTAGCTCCCTCCTCGTCCTCCAAACCCAGGTCCTATGCTTTTTCTCACTGGATCACACACAGGTGGCAGAAGCCTGTGCTGTGGTGACATGTGGTGACCACTCTGGTGGTGGTGGTATGAGATGGACATCTTTGGAAGGGATTTGGGGATGAACATATTCTAAAGTATTTCAGCATTTGCTGAATATTTGGTCTGAGAGGGTGCCACTTATTAAGGCTTGGTCTACTGTTGTGACAGTGCTCTTGTTGATGAACTTAAAGCTAGTGTCTACAAGTGCAATCGTTAGCTCAGTTTAAGGGATTTAGATTTAATACAGTTATTAATTTCATATTAACTACTAAAATAAATGGACTAGTGTTCCAGCAGCAGTTCATAATACAGTGTAAAGAGTTAAAATGAGAGACAAATTTTACTTTTATGGTTATTTATTGATAAAATGAAAAACTCTTTGTCTGTGGAAATGGTTTCTTAACTGCAATCACTGTTCTACAGCAGGGGTCTCCAACCTCTTTCTCCCAGTGAGCTCCTTTACCAATATGTTATAGAGCTACTCATTTTAGCAGTTGCAAGAAAATGAGTTGATATAAGAGCCACAGCCTTAGATGGGGTACAGTTAAATACCTATAAAACACAAACCATTATTCATTTATTCTTGCACAACATTAGGCACCAAAGGGATTCATAAATTTGATAATTAATCAAATTTGAGTTATTCAGCACAATACGTATGATTCAGAAGTCCCTTTGGCAAGCTACTTGGAAGGAGGTTGTAGCTCCTGAGCTACAGGTTGAAGCCCCCTGCTCTACAGCCTTGTGTCTTCAGCATATGTTTTATTTAAATGTTTAACAATTTAAAGAGGATATTAATTCTTTCTTGTGTCTTTGATTCTGAGACTAGCTATAAAATTGACTTTGGTTTTGTGGTTTCTGCGTCCATAGTAACCCTTGTTCCTCTGTGTACAGGGAGGCACTTCCAGAGTGCAGCTCGGACACAGACTCCCTGAGCTCTATGGGACGTAAGCCGTACCAGTGCCCCTGCTCTATGGGCTCGGAGACCCCATACAGGAAGATCTCCCGTGAGGAGCTGCTCTTGTACACTCAGAGCCAGGAGCCTGTAGCGTCCAGCCCCACGTCCAGCAGCAGCAGGGACTCCACCCCCCCTCCCGCCACCAGCCCCTCCGGCCCCCCCTCCACCAGCCCCTCCCCCGCTCTTGAGCACCACCCCTTTGCACAGAGCCCCACCCCCGACCTCACCTGCATCATCCCAGAGTCCCACAGTGCTCCTCCCACCCAGAGCGGGAAGGGCCTGTACAACGGCATGCTGGAGAAGTCGTACAGCTTCAGCCAGCTCCCCCCCAGCATGCTGCCCCCCGTGGGCCGCTACCCCTCCCTCACCTCTCTGGACTCAGAGGGCCGCAGTGTGGGCCGAGAGTACAAGCTCCCCAGCACCTCCTCCCAGGACTCCTGCGACAACGGGGACAAAATCAAGCGCTCCTCATCCAAAATCAAATCTTTATTTAAAAAGAAGAAATAACGGCGCTCACAGGGCGGAGGTGTTAGCACTGATGTTTGAGGGACGCGGTCACTGTAAAACTCAACATGCTCTCTTGGTTATCAGAGATGAATGTAGCTCAGAGTGGAGCAGCCCCACACTCACGGCCTTATTTAATATTGCCTTTGATTACGTTCATTCAGCCTCACAGGGAGAGCCTGCAAAGGTCAAACTAGTGTCAAAGAAAGGTCAAGGGTCACATTTGCACAAGACACGTTCAGTTGATTTAGTTTGAACCAAAAGCCACTGTGTTGGGTCGAATGGTGTTTACTGCAGAGACTGTGGATGAGTGGGGAGTTGTTTGTTAAAGATTTAAAGATGACGAATTATTTTACTAAGTTATTCTTCACCCTTTTTCAATGATCTGTATTGTCCAGTGTTTCGCCGTGGCCTTCATGTACTTGACTCATTTCTTTGAAACAAAGGTCTGTTGCACTACTGCTATCCCAGATTTCTGGGAAAGTTGAAGTTTGGAGGAGCTGACAGGAGCCCCCTGCCCTCTCCTCCTCTCTGTAGACTTCTAGTGACTTTGTTTTCACTACATTTTGTTCTTAGATGTTTTACATAGATTTTTATTGGTGATGAGCTAAAGGTTGTTGAATATGCAGATTTTACCAATCAGTGAGTACATTACGTCCAATGTAATCGAGCTGACCTTTACTACTTGATTAACTGCATCCTGTAGCCATATCTCCTCCATTTTTGTCTTAAGCTCCTATTCCCTTCAAACTCAGTGTTACAACCAGAGTCTGGACAAATGTTCACACAATAAGGAATTACATTTAAAATCAAGCACTAGATAAAAGCTGTGTCTTTGTTCAGTGCTCGAGGGGGAACGTAATACATTTTATTGATGCAATCACAGTAAAAAGTTGTTAAAACCACTGTATCTGACTCTGGGCTTGGTGCTGTGACAGTAAGTGGCAACTCTGCAACTGAGACAGCAAATTAAACAAATGCAAAAAAAAACAAAAAAAAAAACTGTCCTTGTAGTACATAGTGAGGTGAGTACTGAGGTTGTTACGATTTAGGTCAGAACAGCACCACGGACTTCCATGTTTTTGAATAGTTGTGTACACAAGGAAAGCAAGTGTATTTTCTGTAAGAGTTGTCAGTTCTTACTTTTGAACATACCATAGATCTAAAATAGTAAGACGTAGATATCCTAAAATGGTGCTTGTAACTAGGCCTCTCATGATACTAAAACTCGATTTCGATACTAAGGAATAAGGCTCGATACTTGATACAGATTTCCATACCACAATGATAACAGTATGACTCTTTCTAGGCAATAGAAATGAATTTCCAACACAAAATAATAATTACCATGTGGTCTTATACTAGTTTTGATAACGCTAGTATAAGACAGCTTGAAGGTGCACTGTGTAACTTTTCCGCCACCTACTGGTCTCCATGGAGATATTGTTATGCCTTGATTATTGCACAGTATGGAAATAAAGAAGACAGGTTAATGGTCAGATCTATGAAGAATCAAGCTAAGGATTCATGTTTTTAAGGTGTTATTGAGCTATTAGAAATTGAATGAATGCAAGGTTTAATGCCCTGCTGTGGAACATTCCAGGCAAAGAAATAATCTCCATGGAGACAAGCAATTAGCAGACCTTAGAAGTTACACAATGCACCTTTATGTAATATTTTTGAGTGTTGATACTTGTTCAAATGAGTATCTAGTTTTGATGCTAGTTTTGGTATCAGATTTTTTATACTTTGACCACCCTTCTTGTAACACTGAGCTTGCCCCCTCACACTACGCTGGAGCTGACCCGTGCAATATCCGCTCCCGTGGGCAGCTCTCGGCCTGATGTCAGAGCTCTGCTTCACTGTGATCCTGCCAAATCCTTCTGCTTCATCTGGACCGGCCTCGTACCACACTGCCACCAGGGGGCAGTGCAGCGTAACGAGACACGAGGGCTCTGCCTGAAGAGAACAGCACACAATGAAGGACACCACAGAAGAAGTGGAGACAGTGAATGTTTACGACTCATAGGTTTTGTCATTGTGTGTGTGGATATATTTGTAATACTGTAATAAAATTAATAAAAATATGGAGTCAATACAGCTGTTGTAAAGTCATTTTGCGTACAAGTGATCTAGCAAAGTGTCTAAATAAATAAATAAATACATCTCTCTTTTCTCCTCCAAATAAAAAAGAGATGTATTTATCACAAAAAATTTGTTTCTTGACTCAATAATACCCAAATAATAAAAGGCTAAAAATAGTGACACAAACATCAGATTTCCTTGAGTTACGCACACTATTCACTATTCACAATTCAATTTATTTTTCATTTCCTGAATTTACCAAAAGAATTCATAACACATAATCATCTCAAGCACACTGCAGTGAGAGAAGAAAAAACAAGGACAAAAAAAATGACAAGATGATGGAAGGAGAATATCTAATTGTGTCAAAATTTCATCCCAAAACATTTTCAAATTTGCAAAACAGATGTGATCCGCAGTCTTCTTCTCCTCTTCGGAATCACACATCAGTATTCCCGTGACAGTGGGAGATCAGAGGAAGAAAGACAACGGAGTGACAACAAAACGAGAGACGCAGCAGGAGGCCAAGGTCAGTGCTATGAGGAGAGCCGGGAGACACTGAAAATGTGGAATTGGGATTTAAAAAAAAGAAAAATATATAAAAGTGTGCCAAAAATGTTTTCCATCAAAAATGTATTGTTTGGGTGGAAAACATTACATTGTGAAAAGACAGGATCCAGAAGAGCAGACTTACAATACAGTCTTATGAACAATATTACATGAATAAAACATAACCTTTCATCTTTTTCATCTTTTATAAAAAGCCTGTATCAGATTTTTATCAAAAAAGTTTTTTTTTAAACTTCTGTAGCATGTGCTGATGCATTTCATGTCACATATAGGAAAGGTGAGAAAACAACCTACCTTTCCCCAGTTGAAACTCAGGTACTCCATCTTTAAAATGAGTCTATAAGAGATATAGATTGAACATTTTCCTTTTAAGAATGTTTTGATATGAAATAATCTATCATGTTAAATCAACAATGATTTCATAAATTAGTTTAATATTCTTAAAATGGTGATGTGCTGGTGATGTGCATACAGCCAACCAACTCTCGTTCATTTTTCATACTGTATCAACTAAATACATTGTTTTTATTTAAAGAAACCCTACTGTGCTATTATCTATGACATCCATGGATCAGTGTGTTATAATTTGCACATTATAAATTGAAATACTGATCTAAAATGACTCAATAAAAGAAACAAGTCTGACATAAACATGATCACATGATTTGATTTGATTTTTTTACATTTGTAGCACAATGACTATAGTCAGGCTGGTGCCACCTAATGTCTCTTCTAAATTTAATTTTTCTCCAGCGACTAGATCAGGAATCAGAATACACTAGACGGTTCACAAAAACCTCGGAAGTGCGAGTTCGGGCACCAGCCAATCAGCGAAGAGTCATACATTTTATGTTTTGGCAAGGATTCCCGAGATCGAGGATTTAACGCTAGAACAAAGAGAATGTTTGGTGAATTTTTACAAGGGGAAAGACGTTGTTGCTCTTCTTCCTGCAGGATTTGGCTTAATATACCAGTTAGCCCCATTAGTGGTGCTTTACATATATCACGACCAAATAGCAGCAATTCGGTAAATAAAAAAAGTACCTGCCTACTGTCGAGTGAACTAATGTTACGAGGTCAGGCGGTTTCCATGAAGTGAAACTGGCTGATGTATACCGATTAAGAAAACAAAATTGAAGTACAGGTGAAAAATGATGGTTGATCTGCAGTACGGCATCTTGAAAATAAGCGATTAAAGAATGTTGAAACGTGCACGAATCACTCCAAGTACAACTTCAACTCTTATAAAATGGTTAAAAGCTTTGACAAGTCTATTTTGCTTTTAGGACAGCAGATCCACTCCCTGCTTCTCTCTATGATCTGATTGTTCCACTGTATGATGTTAAACTCACTTTGCATTTATTCCTACAGGTTTTTAGCAAGACACATCTCAAGAGACAAGCAGGTGGCACACTTCCATTCAACAAGTCAGAAAGTGCACCTTAAGTTTAAATTATAATCAAGACACAAGACTGACCCATAAGTACCTCAAAGAAAAAAAAAAAAATCCAGTTTGAAACTTTTAACAAACTACTCCGAACTTTTAATTTCATATTTCACCTTTAACCCCGGCAGAGGCTCCTTCATACTCTTTTATTATCCATCCCTCTACAGCATGTGCCATAGTGATCCTTCAGACAAAGAACACCGCAGCTTTGTTCCCATGAATAAAAGATGGCCGCCCCTGATGTTGGACTTATCAAGCGACGTATTCCCTTTGAGAGAAAAGTCCAGCTCAAACCCGCTATACTATATCTTTTACTTTTAAAGATAGACCCAGGTATGAAGCTCACCGTAATGAAAAAGTTAAAACTATTGAGAACTAGAGAAGAGATGGTGGTTTTTCAATTTGGTCCAACATGCCCATTGCCATGTGTGGAATTGGATACAGGATTGTGAGACCAGTGTAGGAGCTATAGCGTATCCATATAGACTAATCCAGGAGTCATGCATATTTCATTATAATAGGACTCCCAGGGTTAAATTAGCCGGAGACATGGGGTTTTCCAGTGCACTGTTTTTGAGATCTTTAAGAACTGTTACATAAGCAGGTGGTAAAGTCATGGAAGAAAATATATAGACTTTAATATAAGATCCCTCCGTTAGTCATCACTGTCTTTTACTCTAGTGCTCATGGGTAATGCAGCCAGTATTATTTTCTGATCTGTGTTATAATGTTTCCTCATCAAAATCATCGTGTTTTGTTTCATTCACACATGTTTAACACAACTGAGTTCAAATGAAACTAACTGATACTTGATTAACAGATTAATTATATAATATTGTTTACTTTTTGTATGATGCACACTGCAAAAACCAAACAACACATATTTATAAGAAAGGGTAAAATGTGATAAGAAGTTGCGTAGATGTTTTATGAGTTATTTCCAAAAACACAGAGTTTGGGCAGGTCCAAAATAAAGTGAGAGATGGTTTAATTTTTCAGTTCGCAAAATGTACAGTCTGTGTCTATTGCCCTTCTAAGATGATTCTTGAGCGGATAACAGCGATGTAGAAGTTCGTAGCAGATTCCCCTTTGCTTGTTGGTGATGAGATATTTGTCCTCACAAATATCCAGATGTCCAGATATGTCCAGACATTTTTCCATGGAATATTGTCAGTAGAGTCGGGCTGCTAACAGTGCATGAGTAGGGCTCTGTTTGGGAGGTGTCCTTGTGGTGATAGTTGCTCTTTTTCCACAGCGACGCATTATAAGGCAAGTTTGGCTGAAGATGCAGCTATCTTCAGGTGTTGGCCCTGTCCTGCCGCTTCCCCAATTTAGGCTCCTGGCTCCAATAATGACATCACTCTGTTGCAGCCAATGAAATAGCGTTGGATATCATTGAATACATCTCAGAACGTCGAATAAACAAAATGTGAACTAAAACATGTTAAATTAATACTATTGAGTTTGGAAAAATATCAGAATAAATTCATATTTTTGTTTATTAAAATAAAATTTTGTCTTCCGCAAATATTGGTTGTGACATGTCCCCACTGTCCCTGTGCAAACCTACACCCTTGGTTCCAACTTGTGGTAACAAAGGAAGTGCTCTGTGTTTTTTAAACTCCATACAGTTGCACTAGAGTCATTTGGATAATTTCAACCCTGGAATTGCCAACCTCTGCTGAACTAAAGCTAAAAAGAGCTGTTCATTTGAAAACTACCACTACATAACATCATAAGTTGGAACATTTTGAGCTTTGGGTTAGTCCCAGTTTAGTCCTGATTTAGTCTAATTTGGTCATGATTTAGATTTAGACTTTTTTTTAAACATTTAAAATATACCTGAAATGTTAAAACTACATGTATGACTCAGAGTCTTACATTTTTAAATAATTGTAATTTAGTACAATATTGTGGGCAGAGATAGGGCTTAGGTGAAATCGTGAAACTTTTGAGCACTCAAGCCTCAAATGTAACACAATACTGGATTACTCAAACATGCATGAATCAATCAAACTACAATGAGCTAATTAAATGGTTAAAAGCTCATAAAAGTGGATTTTATACAGCATATCGTCTTTAAATTTAATGGGTTTATCTCTCCATGTCCCATCACATTCAATAACTCCCACTTTTTGTAATATTTAAGGTGGTCCCTATTAGCGCTGTCACAATACTAATATTTCAACCAGCTTTTGATACTAAGGAATAGACTTGATACCGATTCAGATACCACAATCATCTTTTTTAGACTTTCAACATGAAATCATAGTACTTTCTTTTTACTTGTTCTAATGCAACTCAAGATCATTCTAAAGCTATTCTGGAAAGGTTCATTTTTGTCCTGTGAATGTGACTTTTTTATATTGATACATTCTCAAATTAGTTTTTAGTATTAGTATCTCATTTTCGATACTTTTTTACAACCCCAGTCCCCACTGATGAATCTCAAAACCTCAACATTTTCATCATTGTCATCTCACATTGTCCACTAGATGGCAGTATTGCTCCTCTGTTTCCCTCTCATATCAGTTCACCAGCGCATACGTGAGTGAATGAACAGTCTGTGCAAGATAAATATGTGGAAATCATGAGGTCTAGTCATAAAATATGCAGTAGCAACAGCCTGGTCACAGTCCTGGTCCAAAAATATGTACTGAGAACAATTTAAACTTGAATGTATCCACAACTGTTCAACTCTAACCACTAGACAAACTATGTATTACATGTTTATTGTTCAGTATAGTTTACTTTTCCTAAACAGAAAATACTAACTATGCAATAAGGCATAACAAATCAAAGTCAAAGATGTGGTGATGTAAATGTCAAATATTAAATGGGTTTACTTTTAAAGAAAACCAGAAAGAACTGAGGAGATAATAGCAATTATTATATATTATCAATGTAATTCTTTATTGATATAGCACATTTAAAACAACAGCACACAACACAACAGTTTTATATAGCACTTTTCTGGACACTCAAAGCTTTACAGA